GGGTTTCTTTAGGCCAGCTGATGAAACTGCATCTTACCATTTATCATGCATATCTTTCAAACATGCAATTATACTTAATATACTGGGAATACTGTGAACATTGCCCAAGACCAAAATCCCTTTTAAAGTATATATATCAGTTTGCAAAAATTGCTAGGTTTCTAGATAAATGGAGGTTATTTTTGCATCAACTAAGACTCCTCTCTCTCCCTCTTCAGTTAGTTTATTTAAATAATTCTCCATGTAGCCAATGTATTTTACTTGAAATATTTATACTACTGTTTCTTCCAGCGATAAATGCAATAATAGTTGCACTCATTTCTAAGTATTCTTAAATACTTTTAGTCTTATACAACTCTTTATTAAATATATTAGAATTCATGGGCGGCGAATGTTATTATATCACTTGTATATAGTGGCTGTTCATCGTTATCAACTCAATGCATTAACTAAAAAATAAATAAAGCTATTCTCCTTTCTCTTTCAATTCTTGAGCCGAATGTATATATTGATGGAATTAAATTTCATCAATTAATTGTGGTTGATGTTCATACCATGAATTGATTTGTTGTTTAGGAATTCATTTTTATAGATTCTTATGACAATGATGCTAATCACCTATTATAATTTTTGCAAGTTTAATAAACTACATTGTAGGCGACACACATCAAAATACAATTCGAATTTTACATTACTGAAAAAGTCAATGCTGCCTAAAAATGTATTTAAAAACTGACTTGACTATTCACAATATCTCGTGCATATCAAAGTGACACTCAAGGTAACTTCTGTTTGATCACGATTCTTGTAACAATTATCAAGCTTAGCTTGATATACTATAAAAATAAATAAATGATATTACTCTCCTTGTAAAAAATGCAAAATGCTAAGCAGTAGAGCTAAATATGGTATACACTTAAATAAATCTAAGCCTAGTGATGCATAATTCATAACCCTATATAATGTAGCACTTTTACCCCTTCGCTTTGCTTTTACACATATAAAAATTAAAGTGCTAATTCGAATTGTCAGTTATTATTAATATCTATGATGTAATTTTCTGTATTTTTATGTCATCTAAAACAATTTTAGTTACTAAACCCTTCCTATAAAATATTACTGCGTTGTCCCACATATATAGAGCTGCACTTAATAATGCTTCGCTTTAACAAATCGGCTGCTACAAAAATGATGAAATGTTCAATTCTACGAATCAAACTTATTTTTCTTATTCTTATATAACTCCTTTAGAGCGAAATTTATTACTTAATTTCTTCGCTATCTAATGTGTCATTTCCTATTTAATCCAATTGCTCAGCATCTTGAGTGTTTTCCTACACTAGCATAGTAGATCTTTTAAAATAATGTTGTATCCCTAATAATAAAAATAGAGGTGTAAATTTTAATTCCATAAAGTAATGCTAAGTAAGGTATCCCTGTTTATTATCTTCATAACAACATAAAAGCTTGAAAATGGTGAGACACTATATTTATTGTTCTCTCAGATCGAAATAGTCAACTTAATGCAAAGATTCAATCATTCTATTTAATGCATTTCAACCTTGAAATATTAATTGCACTACTTGCTCAAACAATAGTGCTCATACAATTTTTATTGTCATACATGAATACCTTTTAGCAGCAGCAGATGCAAAAAGTAGATGTTTTATCTTAAGGAAATCATTCTCCATTTTATTAATGAAATAACCTGTATTTTTTGCAATGTATAATATTGATTGCAAATGAGGTAAAATCAACTGGTGTTTTAACTCAACATTTACACTTTTTCTTTCGTTTGCAGGTGTAATGGTATACATCATCTAATTAATTTATAATTTGATTTTGAATGCCGGAATTAAATATTCAAAGCATCATAACTATCAATACATACAATGATTGACTTTGCTTTTCGATAAAGTTGAGCACTATTCAGGTCTAGATAGAGTGAAAAAAGAAAGTTCATTTTTTTGGAAAATGGAATTGGGATAGAATCTTTAATTCAATTGATTGTCGTCTCATTTCTTAGGAATTTATAAATGGCTTTTTGATCATTGCCAAAGAAGGATGGATAGTGATGAAATCACAATATGTTTGCAGAGCGAAAGGTGCAAATTCAAATATTAAAAATGTCAGAAATAGATAAAATCGCTAGGCCTAGTGATGAACTAATAAAGTAAACCCAAAAGTAGAAACAGTAGAATTTAAAATGTTCTGCATTTAAATACAAATAAGGAAATAGGGCGGAAAATACTCATAAATATTTAATGCTCTATGGTTCCTAAAAGTTCAAACTTATGGGTTGTAAGCGAAGTATTGCATATCCTTTTTTAAACAAGTGATGCTAAAGATTAATAACTGCTAAAAGATCAATTACATGAAAATTATGTGAATGAAGAAACTCAAAGAAAGGAGTAACAAATATAATCTCAAGAATCTCAACATTACTAATAGGATTTATCAAGTTGATTAGCAGTTTCTTCATCGATGTTGATAATACATGTCAAGTTCAAGTCTACAATGCAAGAAAATTACATAGTGTTATGAGTTTTTTGGCTCACAATTATGAGCATACACATACATTGAGATTTACAACAATAAATTAAAAATACAAAGCAATAATTTGTATTAATGTGGAACTGTAGAAGATGTAAGACTTGAGTAAAGATTTAGATCATAACTTTGATTTACAGTATTACCCTCAACACAGAGTGATCATAAATGGTAGTTTAGGCTAGAATAGAATTAAAATATAGATAACATCATGGTTTATTTTACATAGCGTTGTGTAAAAGTTTTAGCAAGACGTGATATTCATTGAACAATTTATGAAAATTCTAATTGAAATTGATTAATGTTGACCGATAAGAATTTCAAAAGCTAGTACTGCAGTTAGCAGATAAACTCGCTTTATGAAGAACATTATATGGGCGTTTTTCCATAAACTGTAGCTTCAGTGTATGACCAAGCTAATTTTTACTTAAATCGTTTGGGCAGAACTGATTATAGCACAACTATTAAATATCAAGAAGTTCTTAATTCTAGGTTGCTTATCAAGAGATTTATGCAGAAAGTTAGAAGGTTGATACTTCAAATCATTGTAAATCTATAGTTCTAGACCTAATTATCAATGGTATTTAAGGATAATTATTGGTTAGCAAGTTGGGACATAACCTTGTGAAGCATTATTTAACGAATTCAAGTGACTGTACCTACTCATTTATAAGTGTAATGGTTTTACCACATTTTGAGCAATAACTTCAACTCCAAGACATAATTGACACTACGTTTTTAAATCAATAACAAGAAGGATAACAAGTTAAGAAAAGTCACTATCTATCATTAATTTATAATATAAAATGGTTGCACTACCTATTATCAGCATTTATTTTCTCAAAGTAAAACTCCAGTTGATTATGATCAAATTTAATTGCGCATTAGAACAGCTCATTAAGCCATCATTTTATTACTTTTGCAAATTATACACAAAGTCATATCTAGACACTGAATTTACGCATGTATTATTCCCTCGAAACTTCTCATAAAACATCAAAATATAAGTGGGTGTCTACACATCACACAGGATGGATAACTGTTTCCTTTAGTATAGATATCAATATATATATCTCAAAGTTTATAACCCTTTTACAAGAAGAGCTTAAACTAAGTAACAAATTTCCAGGCCGCCTGCACTTACTAAAAGTGTCCATGATATAGCCCTCTTGAATTTAATAATTAACTTTGCAAGATAAACAGAATTAAAAAGGATGCACATTGTGATACAGCCTAATAGACACTCTAAATATTTAAAAAAAATAAATAAGGAATATTGCTTCAAAGTATCGGATAAAAAAATAGTAGTTGCACGTATTGGCGCAGATTGTTTTATCTCATTTTGAGAGTTTTCATCTCAAAGTACCTGTAAGTTAGTTTGTTGATCATTTCCCTATGGGAATTCAATATAGTCCCTCCAAATTTCTAGGATAACTTCCCAATACTCTGATTCTGCCAAATTTTAACTTTGATCCTTTTTAAGAAACCTCATGTTATGCTGAGTATTTCTGTTATCTTTCATGTGCCGTAAGAAATTTCTTTACATTGTACTTATTCGCATTTGAGTTGCATATGGAATTCATCATAAATGCTGCTAACGTACTCTATTCAACCAAATATAGAAGCGAAATACTTGGGAAATTGTTCCCTCTTTCCTTACATGGTACATGAAAGGCTTGAACATATATTGCTGCTATTCCAACTTGATGGCTCTTAAAAAGCTTATATTTTATGATATGTTATGCGTTGAATGTATTTGTTTGAGAAGTAACTTAAATATTACATGTAATATAATATGATTACTTTAACCCAATATGTCCATATGTAAATTTAAGATACTTGTGAACGCAGAGCTTAATCTTAAATATTGTTCTATGTGGTTTACGCTTGATCCTTATTGTTAATGCAGCAACAACTTACTCACCCAGTAACTGCTTTAGGCACAATAAATAAAGTACTGTAAACCAGTTCCTAATAAGTGAAAATGCATTCATTCTATGAAATATATAGAAAACTATTTCCTTATGTATGCTATATAATCGCTACATCGAAAGCATCTTCAAAATTCATAAAGAAATTGATAGTTTTATAATGCTTCTATAGTTATGATAACAACTAAGAAACAGTTTTTGTCATTTTAAATTTTTATGGCTATTTTGGCTAAACTCAAATAGCATCAACATCTCTAAAAATAGTCCTGAGTAATCTCCATATTTTTGATTTAGTATAAGAAGTTCATGTATCTCTAATAAAACAATAGCCATCAGAGAACTGGTCTGTCATATTGTGGTCTTTTTTTAATTATTCATTCAATTGTCATCTGTTTAAAAGTTTGTTATAATTTTAATCTGTCTTAGATCTCCATCTGTAAAATGGTGAAGTAATGTTATTCAACTTAAAAACAGGTGTTTCAACGAAATTTCAAGCTTCTAAAAATGCATTCGCTCCTCTCCTCCTTGAAGCTTCAATGCTTGAATCAAATTTGAGAAGATGATGTAACAAATTAAAGTATGATTGTTAATGTAAGACAATTCTTTTTTGCACTTATTTTATCGATAGTCTTAAGATCAAATGAACTCACTAAATCATTTTTTGATAATTGTTAGGAGACACCACATCCAAGATTTCAACGATCCTAAATGTTCCCTTGTCTTTATTCATTCAGAGATGAATTAACTTGTTCACAAGGACATATTTGAACTAAATCCCTTTTAAGTAATTGTTTTTAGAATCTCTTAATTTTTATGTATTGCAGAGCACCCAAGATAGCCAACCTTGATAATTTTCTACTAGTTATGTATTTGATTGTTTTTTTACATCTATAGGCATAAAAGGTCCCAATATAACTTTCATCAATTGCTCTGCCATTCAATACTCAATCCTACTTGATCAAACTCATTCTTTTTCATGCTGACTGCATAGCCTTAAGGTAGCAATTTTGTTGAGGATTTTTCACTCTAATCCTAATAGAAGTTGTAACTTCATCCTAGTAAACTACCGTTATTGAACTCCAACTTGAATGATTAAGCATTTTGAAATGGGAGATTTTTAGAAAACTCATTTATTTTGTTTGTTTGTATTGCTAACAAAATGCATAATTGGACAAAATTTACTCAATCAATATACACTAATATTAATATAAAAGTTTGTGTTGATGTAGCCCTATAGAATCAGGACACTCATTACTGACGTTAAGACAGAATTCCTTATTTCAAAGGTGCCTATTTGGATGGCTTTAAATTAAATCATACCACTTGAAAGGGAAGCCTTAAACATAATTCTATCATATAAGACATATATAATATTCATTTCAGGTACTTTTGGTGGCCTAAACAATGCTAGTGCACAAGGTAAAATTGTTCTTATAAGATCAAAATAACAAATTAGCAAGGCTAAAAGCGCTAAATCAAGTTCTAAAATAGACGCTTCTCCTAACTCCTTAGATATTGTCATACAGACTAGGAATGTGTAAATTGTTTTTGCAAAACTATTCATTTAAAAGACTCAATATACTACTTGCTAGAATACGACAATAGTGACTAGGATATCCTCCAGGTCTATAAATTATTGCATATATTGACTCATAGAGTGAAATTTGTAATAAGCAAGTGATTTTTATGAACTGATGATACAAGAGGGATAAAGATAAACTACGGATCTTAAAGAGGGTTTCAGATGATAAGCTTGAAAGTGAAGAAATTAGATCATGCATTATGTGCTGCTGAGATGTAATTGATGATGCTGATTATTAAGATATTAGATGGTCACTCAGTTAATTGCTGTTGATGATCTAAGCAAAGTACGGAGAGATGTATTGTTCCATCTTACTAAGGATATATTATTAAATCCAAGCTTAGATTGGTTGGAGAACAACTGACTGGTTTATGTGGATATTGGTTATTTTGCATGTAGCAATTGGATATTGGGTTTGATAATTTATATGTTAAAGCATAAGCGAAAAAAATTAACAGCCGCCTAAATGCTTGCGAATGGGCATCTCTTTCATTTGATAAAAAATAGACATTAAAATTTACAAGAACTCTTGCTAAATGAACCACATACAAATTCGAGTAGGTAAGTCGCTATGAACATTTTTTAAAACTTAATATAATGTTGTCAATATCTTCAAATTATAAATTTACCTAGAAGCAACGAGTAGGATTGATATTCATTTCAGTGACATCTAATCTACTTTTATAATAATCAGGAAAGTCATGAAATATGAGAGCATCGTCATTCATTAAGTAACTAACAAAAAATTTATTCAATAGAACCAAAAGAATTTTGGGATAAGAATAAAAATCCTATGCAAATGAAATATATAATCCAAGACTGCTTAATATTTGGTACTAATATTCCACAAGCATTGTTTTAAAGGTTACGAGATAACAGGTAATAGTAGGTGAACTAATAATCTTTTAATAGTGAGCTTAATAACAGATAGTCCCAACAGCATTAATTGATTTACAATTCAAGAAACTCTGTACACAAAAATGTCAGTTTTCCTTCACAAGATCTGAAAATTTTCGCGCAAATTTATTAGGGCAGAAAAACTATTTTACAGTAATTAATTTAGAGAAGCAACATATTATATAAGAAACATTCAGATCTATTGTCTGGGTATGATCTCACGCTCAGCAATTAATGATTAGTCTTCACCATATATTGCTGAAACATAAAGTGATTGGTGCTTTTAAGATAAAAAAGCAGATAATCGCATTTAAAGCTTTGAAATTATGTTGACTATTTCACCTTCACTAACTTAACAAACCATGAAAAATTGAAGTATTATTCAAGTGAGCTAACAAATGGTAAAATATATTCTATACTGCCATAAGTCAGCATTTTTCTAAAAGGAACTATAGGTAGTAGAATTTGACAAACATTCTAGAAGCAATAGCATCTTCAGCTAGATGAAAAACAATCTGAAAAAAGTCACAAAAAAGCCAGAACTTCTAAGAACTACTATCAAGCAGCTGGAGTATGTATTAGTACATTAATTTATGGGTTAGAATAATTCAGGCATTTTCTGATAAAAATTATTCAAAATATTTTTGATGGCATAATCAAAATATTTTTGATGGCATAATCAAAATGATTAATAATCTGAGCTGATTTGGAAAAATATTCATTTTTTTGCATGGTTGAATTGAGTATTAGATGCCAGAAGTTAAAAATTAATAGTATTTATACAAAAGGTACAAAAGAATTGTAGTTTAAAGTTAAAAACTCAAACATGATAGATAAAAGTTGTAGCTAGCTAACTTTGATTATGTATGTAAGTTTTTGATCATAATTTTAGGATCAGTAATACGAACCTTTTAGTGTTGATTTACGTAAACACAGAGTACGCCAAGGATGTCCTACAAGTTGTTAAAGCGATAAAGAGTTGAATACATTAAAAATCACTTAAAAAAGTAAAATACATGGCCAACTTGATACGGCTGGACATTCTATAATGTAATAGCATAACATGAAGCATCTACTCCTATATCGAATAATTAAATTGCCAAGATTTCAAGAGTTAAATCAAGCAGTAGATGATGAAGATTTTATTCGAGATGTATTACATTATGAACATTAAATTAGATTTGCAAAGTAACATTTCCCCGAGGATGAGAATGGATCACAAGTGTTAATAAGTGATTTTAATTCAAATAAAATAGTTTTTTAACATTAAATTGAGGTATAAAGTTCCTCAATATTATTCTTATAGGTTACCATCAAAAATTCATTAAGATCTATAATAATAGTGGTAACAGTTTGAATTCTATTGAACATCAAATTTTAATTTTTTTATAAAATAATTAGGTTGAAAATTGAAATAGGCGTTATTATTATCTTATCATAAATTGAAGGCAATTTATACGATAAATAAGGTTGTAAATTGTAAAAAGGGAGCATATTCTTGTTTGTAATGCAGATTTTATTAGAGCTAAAGCTTTACATAAATTACTAATAAACACCTTCGAATTATAGATTGTGTAGTTAATTAAATATACAAGCCTCAAATTTCAAATAATACCCAATAATAATTATTTGGGAAATTTAAAATTCACAAATCAGGGGTTCTCTCTTGAACCCCAACTATCAGAACACAAGTTATTTTCGGAATGATATCTTAGTTTAATTGTTCTTCTCTATCTTTAACAACCTCCTTTACTATTTAAGCAATGTTTTATAATACCTATTAAAAAGTTTAAGCTACTTTTATATGAAAGGAGAATTTGTAAGTATTAAGTCTTTAGGTAAAAAAAATTCATTCTTAATTCAAAGTTGTCTTAATGAGTTAATGAGTAATGTTGTAATCTTTTTAGGAGGCTTATTACATAAAAATCAATTTATATTCAAGAATATAGACAGCATAAATAAATTTGATCAATTAAGTTGAATAATAAATGCAAGTAAACTTACAAAATATAATAAGTATTGAAAAAAAATGTAATGGTAAATTGCCTTTACATTAATTGAATATATGTAAATATTGTTATTCAAATTATTATTCTGTAATAAAAATTTATAATATATTTAGAAAACGTTTATTAATTATTTTAATGGGTTAATATTTTTCTATTAATTCTAAAAAAGAATATGTGTGGTATGATAAGGGTAGTAAATTGTTAAATATAATAATTAGGAATAGCATTAGCCAATTTGAATCAATATGAAGAAGCAAATAAATGTTACAATGAAGCAATATCTATTAACCCTAAATATGTGAATGCATGGAATAACAAGGGTAATTTATAGTTAAATATTAATATATAGGCATTGCATTAAGGAATTTGAATTAATATGAAGAAGCAATTGAATGTTACAATGAAGCAATATCTATTAACCCTAAATATGTGTATGCATGGTATAACAAGGGTAATTTATAGTTAAATATTAATATATAGGCATTGCATTAAGGAATTTGAATTAATATGAAGAAGCAATTGAATGTTACAATGAAGCAATATCTATTAACCCTAAACTTGCTGAAGCATGGTTTGACAAGGGTAATTTATATGTTAAATATTAATATATAGGTACTACATTATCTGATTTGGGTTTGGGGTTGGGTTTGGGTTTGGGGTTGGGTTTGGGTTTGGGGTTGGGGTTGGGGTTTGGGGTTTGGGCTT